GAAATCAAGGATTGGCAGGACTGGTGCAAGACTCTTGATACTGCAGCTGGCATCATCTACTTATGCCTCGAACCTTTGCAAAAGGCCCACATAGAGGACTTCCATAGCAAAGGAGATCTGGAAGGCATGTGGGACAAGTTGAAAGCAACTCATCAGCAGTGAAAACTGATCACAAGGTTCATCACTTATGACACGTTCTTCAGCATCTGGAAAGAAGTGTTAGGATCATGCCAATAGGATTGTGGCAGTAAGTGCACATAGCGGAATGCCATGGGATGTGTCAGGCATAGGCAAAGCTATTAGCAATGTCACCCCTGAGCCAAAGCCCTAAGATGGATACGGACGGAAGTCCACAGAGTGGCAGAGATGAGGTAAGAGATAAGTCCAACGGATCAGAGTTCTGTGGACTGGAGAACGAGAGTGTGACTTAGAGTCAGAGAGAGAGATTGGGCTGAATCAAGTTGATATTCAAACTGAGTATCTACAGTGTAATTCTGAGGCTTATATACTAGTTAGGAGTCTGATCTAGTTCCTACTCAGAGTGGTCTACATTCTAGGGTTGTCAGGGGATGTATTCTACCAGTCGGTAGCTGATGGGGTCCAATGATATATTTGCTACCAATGTCAGGCTATTGATAAATTGTAATGTAGAAGTGAGATATAAAAGAATATGAAATGGAATATGAAATAGAAAGTGGGAACTGGAATCCATAGGTTTCCAGGCTGTGGTTTGTTGGATTGAGTGGAAGTCAGACTTCCATCAGCATGCTCATTACAAGAAGACAACAAAAGCCTCACCAATCTCTACTCTCATGTGACCAGATCTATGACCAAGATTCAGAATCTTCACCCATCCCATTTCAGCCTGACTCAGCTCAATGAGGAGCTCCAGTGTATGGCCTTGATCCATGCCCTATCATGCCCTGAGTACAACAATTTTGTCACATCACTTTTCCTCCTCTCAGAAAAGCTCACCCTTGACAGTATATAGACTGCCTTCCATGATCAGGAGAACAATGAAAAGCTCCATGGTAGTGATCCTCCCTCCTCTCTCACTCTCAAGGCTACCACCATCACTCCACCACATACTTCAGCTCCATCTACCACCAAAATTACCTGCACCTGGTGTCTTCATGACAACCATACCAAAGAGAAATGCATGACCAAAAAGTTTTCCCTCGCTCATGATTGCAAGTGAGTTGCTGACAAAGCAGGAGAGCACACCAGTGGGAAACACTGCCATGGAGGAAGTGGAAAAGCAGAAAAGAGGAATATGGCTGAGATGAAGGAAGAAACTGCCAGCCTTGCAAGTACTGATCTTTCCTCACCTACTGTTTCTCATTGGAATACTGATACAGGCATGTCTCATCATATGACTCCCCACCATCATTGGTTTCACATATACTCCCTGCATGTTGTTTCTATTCATCTCATGGACAATACCATCATTTATTCTGCAGGAGTGGAATCAGTAGTGTTCAAGCTAGAGGTTGAGGGGGAGAATGCAGACGAAGTTGAGCTCCACAATGTTCTACATGTACCTGAACTGTGGAATAATCTATTGTCTCCTTATTATCTCACCTGCAGCAAGGGCTTTGAGATGTGTATCATTGGTCCCATGGTTACATTCAGTCAAGGTGACAAAATTCAATTTACTGCTACTGTGAATGAGAACAATGTTGGCTATGTCAATGCACACACTCTGTCCTCTCCAACTACTATGGTATCAGCAAACACCAGCTCAGCAAGCACCTGCCTGATGGATGAGACTCTATGGCATAGATGTTGCTGTCATAAAAACTGGGATACTATTCAGACCATGTGAACTAAAAATGCTGTAAGAGGCATGAAGTGTGCTTCTGGTCCTACACATGACCCAATCTGCCCTCCTTGCTTAGCTGGAAAGCAGCACCATCATAACATTCTCTGAACCTCTTCTAAGACTCACAAACATCATGTACTAGAACTTGTGTACAGTGATGTGAAAGGCCTGCTATCAGTAGCAACTCCTGAAGGTCATCATTACTGGATAACATTCATTTGCAGTGTCTCCAACATCTGGAGGATAAAGCTGTTAAACCTGCTGAAGAGGCTCTGTGCGTGCCAAGCTCAAAATGCAATAGCATAGAAACACTAAACACAACCACTCTCACTCACACACACACAAAATCTCAGTAGTTCTGAGGAGATGTGCTGATACAAGCACACAATAACAATAGAATTAAAAGATCTCTTGCACTTGTCAAGATATAATAGTGCGTTAGCTTAAAAGAATTCTCTAAGTCCAAATACTTTTAGGACAGGAGGTGAGCGATATGTATCGCTCAGCCTCAAGGCAAAAGTAATGCTCTGCAAGCCCACAAACAGTTCCACAAGAATGTACGACCCTCAAATGAATGTTGCACTGCAACACACAGGTGGCCACAACCCATCAAACAATCTAAACACGACTTAAAGCCTCATGCTCTAAGCAGAAACACTTCAGAAACCTTTCATATATCCACAGGGTTCAAACCTATATGATCCAGAGACACAGAAACACAGAAACATGTCCACAAGCCACAGGGTTTGAACCTATGCTACTTGGGAATAAACCAAAAACCCTCAAAGAGTATTGACAAGCCAAAGGGTTCGAACCTCTGCCACTTGCAACAACTCAGAATTCACAAACACATTCCGCAAACACAAATGCACATTCAAGTTATCACAATACAATATTTCTCTGAGTTGAGCACAATCAATTACTGTCCAGAATCAAGCTAGGTGTCACGTGTGAGCAAGGCATGCCTCACGACCTCTCAAGTGTTTCAAAATAATTCTGGATCCAATAATATTCTCTCACTTGAAGCTACAAACACAAGTCCTTTGGTTGCACACTAGGCTCTCTGCTTTGTGTCACAACTGTGGGGGTCTGAAAGCTTGCTACCTACTTCTAATTACTGTGCTTTTATCTACAGCTAATTATATAAATAGAAATATCAAAAATAGATACGCTCCACCCCAGAGTCATTTCCTCTCTGTAACACATCAACCGCATGGTCACTAATTAATATTCTGAGTCAATCATCCGAGTTAGTGCTCAGTAACATGCTGCTCATTCCACTTGGCAAGGTCTAGAGTTGCCACATCATGTGGAATATTTCTCCTAATTGGCTCCTTGTTTTTAATTCCTCTGCTGCATACATCACTAGCAAGCCGGTATTTTTATTTGGTTGCTGCACCACCTTTTTCTTAGTTCACTATTTCATTCTGGGTACAGGGTTTCTCTCGTGTTGGCCAAAATCCTCTCAGGAGGCTCGGACTGGGTGGTCCTCGGTTCTGAATGACGTCTCTCAGTGATTGCCGGATTGGCAGGGTTCATGCATCATAGATCAATGTTGCATGAAGCTCTGTAAATATATTATCTTTTCAGTGTATTTTATTTGAGTGAGACGCTGCTGAGGGATGCATAGGGTGTGAGTCAGGGCACTGAGACTCCACACTTAAATGACACCAGTGTGCCACTCTAAGTCTAAGCCATGTGCTCCACTCAGATTATTTTATTATATGCTGCTTCTGCCTTAACAGGTGTTGCTCCATGCCGGGTATGCATTCTAATATTACTTAGTGGGTTGACACATGCTTGAACTCATAGAATTTGCAAAATTACATATATGCATGTGTTGCATGCATGTCATATCCCCTTCACTAAGCTTTGGACCTTCCATGGTCTGTGCATGTGGGTTCCCATAGATTCCAATGGGTCCTGGTTACCGTGGCAGCTTCTTTTCATGTGGAAAGAAGTCCTGAGTCATGTAGCATCATCGGCTTCTCATGACCATGGAAACTTCTTATGTTTTCTCTTCTCTTTTTACATCATGTTGAACATCTAGGAATATTTAAACTGACTCCAATCCATTTTCCTCTCTTCCTTACCCTCTCTTTCACTCCACCTCTGTGTCATACACAGGGGTTGTCCTCTTGTTATCTCTCATTTTATTTAGTACTTTCGTCACCATCACCATCACCTGTCATGGTCACTGAAGATGCCCTTGCCAATGCTTAAAGGGTTTTGTATGTTTCTGTTAGGATCATGCCAATAGAATTGCAGCAGTAAGTGCATATAGCGGAATGCCATGGGATGCATTGGGCATAGACAAAGCTATTAGCAATGTCACCCCTGAGCCAAAGCCCTAAGATGGATACGGACGGAAGTCCACAGAGTGGCAGAGATGAGGTAAGAGATAAGTCCAACGGATCAGAGTTCTGTGGACTGGAGAACGAGAGTGTGACTTAGAGTCAGAGAGAGAGATTGGGCTGAATCAAGTTGATATTCAAACTGAGTATCTACAGTGTAATTCTGAGGCTTATATACTAGTTAGGAGTCTGATCTAGTTCCTACTCAGAGTGGTCTACATTCTAAGGTTGTCAGAGGATGTCTTCTACTGGTTGGTAGCCGATGGGGTCCAATGACATATTTGCTACCAATGTCAGGCTATTGATAAATTGTAATGGAGAAGTGAAATATAAAAGAATATGAAATAGAATATGAAATAGAAAGTGGGAACTGGAATCCATAGGTTTCTGGGCTGTGGCTTGTTGGGTTGAGTGGAAGTCAGGTTTCCATCAGCATGCTCATTACAGTATCCCCCTCTTAGCATTCTTGCCCTCAAGGATGCAGATCCTGATGGCCGAGTGTGATTGCATGGAATTTTTTCAGGTTGGTCATGTGGCTTTTCACCTCTTAGCTTTCTACCACCACCATTTCTTCCATTTTCTGAGTTTTGTCCTCGTCGTTGGCCAATGTCGTCCACCATTGAATACCACGCTTCCATGACTCCTGAACCATATGAACCTGCCTCGACACCCAAAGATATTTGGCCTGAAGACCTAGAGGCCTTTTATGATGAGCAGGATGCTGCAGAGAAGGCTAGGGAGGATGCCGCAGAGGCCCATGAGGCCTGGAAGGTGCAGAAGCAAAAGGAGGAAAAGAGGCGGGCTCTGGAGTTAGAACAGTGAGAGAAAAAGTTGGCACAGGAAAGGAAGGTTGCAGAGGCTAAAGCAAGGAAGGAGAGGGAGGAGCAGGAGGCTGCAGAGAAGAAATGGCAAGAGGAGACAGAGGCTAAGGTGAAGGCAGAGGCTGCTGCCATGGAGCAGTGGAGGTTGGAAGAGGAGGCAAGGGCCTTAGAAGAAAGGCGGGCCACAGAGGCGGAGAAGGAGAAGGAGAGGGTAGATGGGAATGAGGGGAGCAAGGTTGGTAGTGGGTCCAATGGAGATGACAAGCAGGAGAAGGACCTGATGGGGAAGGCGTTGAAAAAGTTGGTAAAGCAGAGGAAGGATAGGAAGGGTAAGGGCAAGGCAACAGATTTGGAGGCTGCAGGGAATTCAAAGAAAAAGAAGGTCAAGTCCAGTGTGGTGGTATTGAGTGGAGAGGAGGAAGTCGCAGGGCCATCTGGGAGGCTGTTGAAGAAGTTGAAGACTGAGCCTGAGATGCAGGCAGATGATGAGGAATATAAGGATAATGGTAGGTTCTTCTGCAGGTTCTGGCTATTTTGCTGATGGTGTATAGAGCATTGTGGATGTTGTAAAGTGGACGACGTAAAATGTTTCATTTGCCACAGGCATACTTGTGAATGGTGCAAATTAAAGAAAAGCAAGTGCATGTTTCCCCAAGGTGATGGCTCAGGATCTGCAGGGTCTAGTGAGGTCTTGGACCTCCTACAAAAACTCTGCAACAAGATGGACGATTTCCAGAAGACTTGGAGAGGGTAGAGGGAAAGGTGGATTTCCTTGGAAGCTGTGTCAATGACTTGGTCAATGATTTTCATGAAGGTGATGCTCCAGAATGGCCGTCGGATTTCATTGATGAGGAGTTTAGGGAGGAATGGGCAGCATCTAAGGTCAAGCTTGAGGACCTCAAGAACATTAACTCGGAAGCCCTATGGATCATAATGCGGATGCACCTGGACAAGGATGTCACCC